GTCATAATTTCTTCCCATTTTTTGAACTCGAGTAAGATATCTTCAAAGTTGTTCAATATTATATCATTTCACTTACAATTGTAACGGTAAGATAAAAAAGGTAACCTTTGATAGGTTGAATCAGAGCTTTTAATTAGCCGATTACAGTTAGTTGGACGCTTACTAGGCGACGAATTAATAGGCATCTCATCAGAGAATTGACTGTAAACGATAATCTCAGATATCGGATTAAGTTGCATATTACGTAATAAACTCATACTAATAATAACTTGAATAACCTATTGGTTACATCACATACTCGATAATATTGACTAACCATTGCATGATGCACTTATCAACTCATCAAACTTTGATAGTCAACGTAAGTAAGATGCAATCAAAATGTTTAGTTGATTTATTCACTAAGTACATATTTATGTACTCGACTTCAAAACACACCATTAAGGCAAGATGAAACAATAAGACAAACTTTGTGACAAGTATTGCTAATTGAACGTTACACTCGGTTCCTAAGCTCTTCTAGTAACCCTTAGACTAAATCTACAAAGCTACTTGAACACAGGAGAAAAGGAGCGAAGTACGGAAGAAACGCTTTTCTCCAAGATTTACTTTTGTACAGAAAATCTAGGGTATTTATAGGGTTTTAGATGGCCTTGGGATCCCGGATAATTCTGGAACGCTACTAAACATAGTAGCACTATAAGTAATCACCCAAACAGAAACTCAAGATGTGACTTTTCACTTTCTAGCAAAATTTCTAGTGAATACTGATTGGATAAGATGTTTCTCAGAATTTTCAGACCCTTTGTTAGCTTTTTTCGAGGAGTTTTCTGGATCTCCCCTAGCGCATTCACTTGTGAAATCCCTATATTTTTCAATAATGAGTTCACAGCATTTTTATATCATTATATTTGTAGATTTCTATTTAACCTACTAACTACTGATATATCCCTAATTGTACAAAAATTATAATTAGTTGCCATACTTTGCCCCAAATGCCCTGGTGCAGCCGAGAGTGGGGAGAGTACGCTCTCCCTCTCCAAATGCTCTCACACGGCCACGCGTATACAGCCTCTGTCATGGTAGTTCTACTCACTGCCACGGAAAGTCCATCTAGGGGAGTCGGAAAACCCTGATTCCAAATCAATATTGCATATGGCCTCCAGTATCCTGAAGGGACAAATGGTATATGAACCTATTTTTGGTGACCGACTTCCATAGGACTACTTCTCATAAGGTTGCTTGACTGCATTGTAGATTAGACCTCCAGGTGAAGTGTTCAGGGAGGTTCCCGTCAAAAAAACCACCTGCTTTGGTTTAGGAGTTCGGGCAGTATTCCGGCCCTCACACAAACCGGGTGATAAAGTGTGGCGTATTTGTATTTGATGCCTCCTTGTACCAATGTTTATGTGTTTAAATAAATAAATATGAACCTATAACTCAGATTTAGTACAATTCATCTAATTATGTAGAGATCAAGTGTATTTATCTTCTATTATAAGACTAAAATTCATACGTATAAACAATTTGCTTTGCGGTTGCTTGGATCAGTTAAGTGTTAGCATATTAAGTCTGTAAATTGTGAGTCTCATCAATATTGATGATTTAAACAATGCAGAACATGATCATATCAGTTTATAGATTGTTTCAGGATCGATTATAATGTGGTGTCGGTTACTGCTATCCACATAAGTAGTATATAGTGATGGTTGGGCATTGAATATATTTCAGTAGAAGATCGATAAGGAGAGAACGGGAACAGCATGCAATTGGTACTAAAATGAATGAACAATTATAATCGGATATATAAGAACTCTCGTCTAAATTAGAACGAATAGTTTCACAGTATTTGAGCGCCGAGTTGAAGTAAGACATTAAATAGAAATAATATATATTTGTAAAATCTCAGCGAATGAATTTTTTAAATTAAATCCAACGTTTCGCCTGGCAATCTGGTTCAAGCTTTTTCAAGGAATTATAATCAAACATCAAAATTATCGAATATAAATAGGTTATTGAACCGGCCTTAAACAATGTTCCGACTGATCAAGCGAATTCAGTGAGATTTAAAATCTCAAATGCGTTATTGAAACAAAAACCAAATGCACCTAATCTATGTAAAGAAGAAATGAATGAATTCACTTAGTATTGTTTGTTTGGATCTTCCCATCGATGTGTTTAGGACTGCAACTGGTCAGTCTCTAATTGGCATATGTGCATACTGTGCGTATTGCCTCGATATATCCTTAATTCACAAGCATGATAAGCAAAGATGGTTAGTGGCTGAAAGTGGAAGCCAGGACGCGCGTTTCGTCCTATTTGGGACTCGTCAGCTGGATGTACCTGCATCTCACAGTTGATGTTCACTCTGGGACTCGAACCCAGTACCCTCGCTTCAAACGCCATCGCGTTATCCATCCAGCTGACGAGTCCCAAATAGGACGAAACGCGCGTCCTGGATTCCACTGCTAGCCACTATCCATCTCTGATTAACTATTTGATTTGACAATCCTAAATTTATTATAGTTGAAAGCGTGAGGCAATTGAAGCTAGACCACCATGGAAAACCTGGAAACACTGGACGGCCGTTTCGTCCTATTATGGGACTCCTCAACAGTGCGCATCCACGGACCCGCTCTAGCGAGATTCGAACCCAGAACCTACCATGGTGGTCTAGCTTCAATTGACTCAAGCTTTCAACTATAATAAATACTAAATCTCCACAAAACCCCTTCCTAAATTTACATGCATTAAACTATGTACTTTGCCTTTAATCTGGCCAATTTTTCGGATTATTAATTTGGATATATAATTGTAGAACCTGAAGAGAATTTATCGAAAAGAATATTCTTCGTTCAATGTATTAGTCTTTTAATATGATTGGGATTTTTAAACGATTGTTTAATTATTCTTCATTGTTGTACATGCTGTGACACAGATATGATTCATATCACATATATTACAAATTGTATGTTTCCTTATAAATTCACTGATAAGAGACAATATATGAATGTGAATGTAATTTTTATCCTCTCATCTCTTACGTTTTCTATACAATTATGTTATATGAACACTTATCATTTCACATCACACACATACCTAGTTTAGACTTTTTGTTAACGTGGATTGGATGACCTATTCAGTGTATAATGAACTTGGAGAACCATGTACTACCTATTTATATTCGATAATTTTGATGTTTGATTATAATTCCTTGAAAAAGCTTGGACCAGATTGCCAGGCAAAACGTTGGATTTACTACAAATTCATTCGCTGAGATTTTACAAATATATATTAATCCTATATAATGTATTATAATCGGAGACTATGAACTGATATTTGAGGAAAAAACGGTCAATAGTAAGACAATTGTTTGTTATTTTATAAATTAACTATTCACTATATGGTTTTCATATTTTAATAAGATATTCTGTAATGTTGTACTAAAATACATTCGGTTATCCCCGCCCGTGTCTTGTTCACTACAATAACGCTTACCATATATCAAATTATGTGGTGGTGTATAGTTAAGACTGGAGTGATCTATCCATACACATACAATTATTAGCTTTTTAAAGATCATTTTACAACATGATTATCACACAAAACGGTACCTTATTCATCAAAAAGTATAAATTTATTTGCCTCGAATTCGTTCTATACTTATTGTGAATATATATATATATATATAAAGGTTATGAATATTGCACAGCTATTTAGAGGCTGTGTAATATGGTCTACTTATATCCATATAAGTAGTATATGGCGATGGTCAGATATAGAATGTATTTTGACAGAAGACCGATAAGGCAGGAAATGAGATGAAGCGCAATTGATAGGAAGATGTATGAACGATGGAATTAGAGAAAACGGACTGATATTTACACAATAAACAGTCAAGATTGAGACAATTGATTGTTATTTTGCAAATTAACTGTATAGTTATCAGAATTTAGTGAGATAGTGTGTAATTTTTTGCTTAAATACATTCGTTTGTCCCCACCTATGTTCTGTTCAGTACATCTGATCTATTCAACAACAACAAAGAACCCAACAGATTTCTTTACATACTTTCCCATTCATTCAATGAGCTATCTAATCACTAAGAGAACTGGAAGAAAAAATAAGTTTTTCGAGGGGAAAAAAAAGAAACACAAAGATGAGAAGGAGTGTATCTGAATCATTTTATTTTTTTTGTTTTTAGAGTTCATTATTACTACTAATAATTATCTCAATTCAAATGCACAGACATAAACACAAGCACGCACGCACACACACACACACACGAACAAAAAAACAAGAAAACCAGAAAAATAAATAAATAAACAAACAAATCAATTCATATTGATTAACATTTAAGAAAAAAATAAATAATAATCATAACCATTTAATCAATAAACTGAAGCCAACAACAAAAAAATAGATTTGAGAAAAATTGGTGTTAGGACTGAGGGGGGGGGGGTTGACCAAAGATAAAGAAAAGGATAATCATTGCAATATAAATAAATATAAATAAATAACATCAATTATATATATATATGTTATTTGTGTAAACAACTACTAAATAAGTTGTTTGATTAGGGTATCAAGTTTAATTTTTTTTTTATTTCTTCCTTTAATAGTAGTACTTAATGTATAACAACACCATCATCATCATTACCAAAGTTTTTTATGTGCCATCAATAAATCGAATATCTTAATTACTCTCTAGTTGATCACACATACACAAAAAAAAACGGATGTATGAAGAATACAGTTTAATGTAAGAAAAAAAAATTCGAAACTTGCACTATTAACGTAAATGTATATATAGGATTAACTAACCAATAAGAAACTAACAAAATGCAACAAAAAAACAAACAAACCATTTTTGACCTTGTGTAGGACATTGACGACAAATTAAAATAAACATATACGTACGCAATCAATTAGCCAATCAAAGAAGAGTATTCAAAATAAGCGGTCTTATCTATCCACACACAATGCATTGATATAACCAATTAAAAAATAGCAAATAGGATGTATTTATGTTGACCCTGAAATTGAATAATAAGATGCATATAAATAATATAATTTAAATATCACAGTATAACATGGCGCTAGAAAATATATAAGCTGATAGAATAAGCAAATTGTGATATTGTCATAAAGTTTTAATATTCAATTTAAAGAAATCATAAATAAACAATTAAGAAGACACTGAGAAGAAGATAAATAGAGATCTACAAATTATTAGAAAAATATGTAAGAACGAACGGTTAGTAAACATTGAAGAGAAGAAGAACGAAAGACTTAACAATATCATACATATAAACCCAAACCATTAACAACAAAGGAGTAGTTTTGAAATACAATAAGTGAAAATAACATAGACCATTGAATATGACACCATCTATTCCATTAAAAACAAATAGTATCCATCTATCACTGATTTTTTTTATAAATATGTTTACACATAATACATTAAGAAAGAATAGACCTACAACATAAACATAGAGTTAAGAGAAAATTAGGGGGGGGGGTAAAACCAAAAAAAATGATAGGAGAAGGGGGAGACAAAAAAATAAGACAACGTCAGCGGACATCTAACCGAAAAATTCTTAAACATGGGTCAGTAAAATGATGATAATGATCAATAATAAGTAAACTGTTGTTATTAGAATAGATAATACAAGTTATAGGAGATAATAGGACAAACTAATAAATATATAATCTGATATATAGATTTATAGATGAGAGAAAAAAAATAAAGACACATATCAACAAACAGAGAGAGAGAGAGAGAAAAATAGTTGCAAATCATATGCTTATCATTTAATCAGCTTTTCTTACTTTTGAACGTTTCATAGCAGTTTTATTACCACTACTACTAGTACTATAAGTTTTCCCGACATAATCATCAGTTGATTGTTCTTGTTGATGAGTAATTTGATTATTATTATTATTATTATTACTGCTTAGAGCTGATTTTAATAATTTATTCGCTTGTGGATGTCTTCCACCTTCAAGAAGTTCTACTTCCATTGTTACAGCAATAGGATCACCATTATCTGTTTTAATTAATGGTGGAAAATGTGATAAAAGATCAGGTGGTGCTTGAGGTAATGATGACTTTTCAGCGGTAGAAGTAGTAGTAGTACTACTAGTAGTATTGATAATTAATGATGATGATGAATGCATTTCTAATTCATCCGATTCAACAGCTGACGATGATAATGATGATGAGGTTGATGTATTTGGTAGTTCAATTAACTCAAAACCATTCTCATCATCTTCATGTTTTTTATGTAAATTACGTTTCATTGATAAATGGATAGGAGTAGAGATATTTGTATTAGTAGTAATAGTACTACTACTATTAGTAGTATTAGTAGTAGTAACTGTTAACATTGAATTATTATCATTATCCAATGGATTTTCATTACATAATATACTATAAGATTCTATGCTTTCATTATTATTAATAATAATTTCATCTGTAGATTTTTTATTTGGAATATTACGACGTTTACGTTTGGATGTAACAATAGTAGTAGAATGAAGAACAATAAGAGATGGATCATTATTACTATGACTACTATTACTACTACTAGTAGTAGTAGTAGTAGTAGTAATATTAGTAGTACTGCTAGGAACAGATGGATCCTTTAATGAATGTTCCGTGGAACTTTGTTTCTTCAATGAAGAATCAATATTTTCCTAAAAGAAATTTACAAATATGAAAATGCATCATTAATCTAAGAATACATGTCTTACTTGAAGAAAAAAAAGTGAATTAGTAACACTGAAAAACTACATATATATACATATTTCGATGGAGTTTTATTCTCTGACCAGGATGGTTTGGTCGTAGAGCTTTCATTGTCTTTCTGAACAACATCATCAGCATAAACTTCGGGTATAAGTAAAGTGTTTGAATTTCTTTAAATGTGGTTCACAGCTTGTCCTGTACACTGGAACTCAAGTCAATCAGCAATAAATAAACACATTGAAATCAATTCAATTTATCAACCAATCAGAAAAATTATGCAGAAATATAGGAGCAAAAATCAAACTAATGGGAGATACAACCAAAACAAAGAAATAAACAATGACAGATTTAAGGTCAACAAGAACCAATCAACATTGAGGTGTACAGGACAAGCTGTGAACTACATGTGGAAAAATTCAAACACTTCACCTCTACTCGAAGTTTGTGCTAATGATGTTGTTCAAAAGGACGATCAAAGCTCCAAGACAAAACCATTCAGCTCAGAGAATAAAACTGCATCAAAATCATCCACCTGAGCTACAAATCTTCGCCACCATCACAAAGTTCTACTTTACGTATGACTGACTTTCACTTCTCTAGCACAGTAGTAAATCGGAAGAAGAAGACTAGGAGTGACCAATCCAAGACATAGTGTTGGTTCATCACGTAATTAACTTTTTATCGGTACTGTGTTGATAAAAGTATAGACTACCTAATCGAGCTCAGAGTAATGATCGTGATAAAAGGTTAGAGAGCTTATAGCTCAAAATCGGTCACTCTTCGTCTACTTCTAGATTAAGAGTTTCATAATTAGTTTTATACTTTTTTCTTTTCAAACATCACACTTTTCATGCTAAGTCTCCTCCACTGTCGACTTTTTTCATGGCATATAAACTTGAAGCAATCGTTCCAAATCCTATATTAATAGTGATAATCAATTGGCTAACCGACAGCCCAATAGATTCGTATTTTGTCATAGTAATTGAATCTATATCGTGCTGCGATAAGTTTTAAAATTAAAAAAAATCACATAGAAATTAGTATATTAACTGACTAGCTACTAAGGAGAGTGACAAATCTTTATAAACACAAACACATACACAAGGTTGATAACCTTATCTAGATTATATCACATGGGAATAGTAAACCTTGTGTAGTATAGTAGTAAGGAGCACGTGTTTCACTTAGTAATGATGGTACAAAATAGATCAATATATTACAAATAGTACTATCAAGCAGATTAAGAGTATGACGTTACCCGATTCATTTTATTTTTTAAAAATTATTTTATTTAAACACATAAATATTGGTACAAGGAAGCACCAGATAAATATGCGCCTCACAAATCTCATTTGATTTGTGTGAGGGCTAAGATACTGCCCAGGTGCCCAAACCGAAGCAGGTGGTTTTCTTAGGGGGCCACAACCGGAGCCTTTGACCTAAAGGTCTAGTCCACAAGGCAGTGGAGCATCGTAAGGAGATGCAATTCCATGGTAGCCGGTCACCAAAGATTGATTCATACGCCATTCGTTCCTTCAGGATACTGGAGCACATGCACACCATTTGTTTGGAATGAGGGTATTCCAACTCCCCTAATTGGAACTTCCATATCCACCAACCATAACCACCAGACATTCAATTTTCGTCCCCTCCATTTCGTAAACAACACCCTGGGGCACGAGAAGGCGATGAGTAAGACTTCCCTGGAAGAGGCTATATATACGCATTGGTATCAATTGATAATTCGAAAAAAGCACTCCTTACCGAAAGCAACATTAAAATCAATAAAGGGTAGGTGAGTTTAATTGTTAAACAAAACAATACATCATCAATTCTCCACAGTTTCACAGAAAATCCTTACCAATGAATGCTTACAAATTAAATAAGGTTTATGTTGTTGATTGACTACAATCACTATTGATTAGTATTCAAACGCATAAAAGTACACCTTAATACTGAAGTCATTTAGACAAAAGAGTTGTCATGTGAGAAACTAAATCGATAGAATTTTATTAATACAAAAATAAAATTCACACAAAAAAAGACATAATAACATATTGGTTACTACTTCCTAACACAGTTAATGACTTTATGCATTGACATTTATTTAATTAAGCACATAAACAAGGAGGCACTGAACATATACGCGCCACACAAATCATTCGATTTGTGCAAGGGCTGGAATACTGTCTGAACTCCAAAACCGAAACAGGTGGTTTTCTTTGAGAGGCACCCACTAAGCATTTCACCTAGAGGTCTAATCCACAATGTAATCGAGCAACCTTAGGAGATGCAGTCTCATGGAAGCCAGTCACCAAAAATAGGTCCATATGACATTTGTTCTCTCAGAATGTTGGAGACCACGTACACCATTGGATTGGAATCAGGGTTCTCCAATTCCTCTAAGTGGATCTTCCATATCCACAAACCCGGTTAAAGAGCCGGACATTTCATTTTCGTCCTTTCAGTTCCGTAAACAACACCCCCACTGCGAGATGGCAGTGAGTAGGATTTCCCTGACAGTGGCTGTGTAGTGGACAAGAACTCTAGTAGGGATAATCGAACGTATTTGAATACAAAATTACAGAATGTCTTAGTAAAATCTGAGAATCATACGTTAAATATTTAATTTGCGAAATTGTCAATCAGTTGTCTCAGACTTGATTGTTCCTTTTGCAAATATCAGTCAATCGTCTCAAATTTAATTATTCCTGCATTTTCATGCCAATTGCGTTCCGTTTCCGTTCTTTCCTTCTCGATCTTCTACTGAAATACACTATATTCCTGATTATCGCTCTATACTACTTATGTGGATATAAGTAGTTCACACTTCACTTGTATATGTGTGGCCATATGAGGGTATTTAGAGAGAGAGAGAGCTGACTCTGATTCCTTTCGACCGCTCCATGGTATTTGGGGGTGATAGTGAATGTGAAAAATATAGAATTCGTTTCAAATTATATTTTAAGTAATGTAAAAAAAACTTACTATAATGGAAGATGTTTTGTTGCTACATTCCACTACACATTGATGACTAGAATCAGGTTCTAAATTTTCATTAGTTTTAGAATTAATAACATCTTGACTAGTCATTAAATACTGTTGATCATTGCTACTAATGCCATGTGTAGAGTTGGACTTATTTTGACTATTTTTTTCTGCTAGTATTACAGATGATAAATTTATTGGTTGCGGTTGTAGAACATGTCCTTCTAATTTGGTGTCATCAATATGAACATCATCATTATTATTATCTGTACTCATCAATTGTTTAGTGTCTTTGTTATTATTATTATTATTGCGTCGACGACGTCTAACTGATTTGATATTTGCACATAACCAATCACCATCATCATTCCCGGTAGTATCTAATGCTTGTGGCGTAACAGACGTATCAGGAACAGGAGTAGATATCTGTGAGTTATTCAATGGTTCAGGAACAGTAGACGAAGACGACAATGATGATAATGGTGATGGAGATTCAACAACTGTTTTACACGATTCATGATGTATAGGATTTGATTTCTTTGTCTTCAACGATTTTGTAGTGGTACTGCTACCTTTACTACTGGACGTCTTCATTACTTCATGAATCGTAGAAGCAATAGTGTCTGCATCTTTCGAAAAAATGTTTTTATCAGTCATCGTCGTCATCATCTGTTCACTGGCAACTGGTTTTTGTTTAACCGAACATAAATTAGTATCTGAAAGAAATAAGATGACACAATATTTTCAAAACATATATACCATGATAATTTTCAACATGTATCATTGCACATTACAAACACCACAAATAATCATATCGTTAACAGTAAGGTAAACAGTTATAGCATTATTGATATTTAGTGTCGAATTCTTGACTAAACTTTATAGGTATATGTGCCCCCGAATGCCCTGATACGTCCGAGAGTGGGGAGGGTCTGCTCTCGCTCTCCAAATACTCTCACATGGCCACGCATATATAGCATCTGACAGGGAAGTCCTACTAATCGCCTTCTCAAGGAGGGTAAGGTGTTGTTTACGAAATTGAGAGGACAAAAAGCGAATGTCGCGCGCTTTAACCGGGTTGGTAGACACGGTGAGTTCACCTAGGGGAGTTGGAAAACACTCACCCCAAAACAATGGTACACATGGGCTGGCTCCAATATCCTGAGGGAACAAATGACGTATGAATCAATCGTTGGTGACCGGCTTCCATGGGAATGCATCTCCTTATGATGCTCCACCGCCTTGTGGATCAGATCGTTAGGTGTTGTGGCCCCCTAAGAAAACCACTTGCTTCAGTTTGGGTTTCTGGGCAGTATCACAGCCCTCACACAAACCAAAGGAGATTTGTGTGGTGCATATATATCTGGTGCCCTTTTGTACTAATTTTTATGTGTTTAAATAAATAATTAAATATATGTACATTCAGTGGAGATTATCACTTAATGAATTGTCCTGTATGTATGTGTATGCTTCATGACTCAGTCAGTCAGCAACAACGTAAGACCAGGCACATATATGCATCGGTACAAGTTGCCATACATCGTTAGCACAACAAGATCAACACCGGATTCATAGAAGTAATTAATTTAGTGGTGGTAGTATATAAAGAAAGGTTGTATATAAGGATATAGTATAGAAAGGGAAAAAGTTATGAAATAATTTTAATCTCAAGGTTTAAGGGAAGATAAAGAGTGTATACACCTACGCCATTGTGATCGATTCTGAGCCATGTCACCTACAGTCTCCAACCATTGGTTACGATAGTCACGCGAACCCCAACCAGGTAGTCTGCATCTACCAACATGGCTCAGATTAGAAGTTAGTGACTTTAAGCACTGATGCCACGTTTTGGTTTGGCCACACCTAACTCTCTTCCAACTATCCCCTACACTCGTCAGCATAGCGCGTCGTGGTAATCGGTGTTCAGGCATACGTAACACGTGGCCTAACCATCTCAGTTGAGGAAGATCCATGACCCCATAAAGTGATTTACCGTCATTCCCTAATACCTTGTGTCTAACCTCACTATTACTTACCTGGTGATCCCAGCAAATGCGAGCAATATTCCTAAGGCATCTGTGGTCAAATAGTAGTAACCTACGAGTATCTTCTACTCTTAATGGCCATGTTTCACAGCCATAAAGTCGGACAAAGCGAACTGCTGCGCAATATACTCGTCCCTTAATTGATAGACGGATATCTCGTCTTCGCCATAGGTGACGTAAGTTGGCAAAAGCCAAACGAGCTTTTTGAATCCGTGCTGAGATTTCATCAGACACCAACCCATTAGGGCTGATCAGACTTCCAAGATAAGTAAAGTTGTCCACGCGTTCGACTACTTCACTCCCTATCCTTAGTTCAGGTGTTGACGCAGGCCAGTCCTGGAGTAACAATTTACATTTGGATGGGGAGAAACGCATCTCAAACATCCTGGCATTATTACTCAGTGCTAACAGAAGACTCTGCATTTTGTCAGTGTCTTCACCAAACAGGACTATGTCATCTGTGTATTCTAAGTCGATAAGTGAACCTCCTGGTAGAAGATCAATTCCTGAAAATTCAGTTGACGAGAGTGTTATTTCCAGCAACAGGTCTATAATGAAGTTAAATAAAAATGGGGATAGTGGACAGCCTTGACGGACACCACTTGAGGTTGTAAAATCATATGACAGTTCGCCATAAGCTCTCACTCGACTGGTAGTGTTCGAGTAAAGAGCCTTCACAAGGTTTATGTACTTCTCATGACTAGGAATACATAAATCATTTGGAGGCCAATATTGTGCACTCATCATATGGTTGATTTCTGATTGATTCAATTGTTAAAATCAACAGTCATCTATGTATTATTTGTCTGTAGTACCCATGAATAATTCTAACAAAATAAATTATCAGTGTGAGGATTGTAGTACGTCAACAGTTGAATTCGTGAGTCTATCACAACTAGACTATCATTCAAAACCTAGAAGCATTGAACGGCCGTTTTGTCCTAGTATGGGACTCCTCAGCAGTGCGCGTTTATGCGCAAGACCGAAGGCCCTGGGTTCGAGTCCCACGTGAGAGATCGTGGATGAGCACTGGTTAGGAGTCCCGTACTAGGATAAAACGGATGTCTAGTGCTTCCAGGTTTTCAATAGTGGTCTATCTTAGATTGACTGATGAATTCAACTGTTAAAAAAATGCATACTTTTATTATAAACTCCCTTTTATGAAAAGCTAAACATTCCGTACGTCAAGGTTGTATCATATATATAGAGGAGAATTGAGGAAAAAACACAACGTTAGGTAGTTGAAGATCGTAAACAAGAATGTCCACCAGATCTACTCTAAATGGTAGTTAGTACTCATTAGAAAAGTGTACTAGTAATCCCTAAAAAAAACATTAGTTCTTTGGCCAAACCAAAACGTGGCATCAGTGCTTAAAGTCACTAACTTCTAGTCTGAGCCATGTTGGTAGATGCAGACTACTTGGTTGAGGTCTGCGTGACTATCGTAACCAATGGTTGGAGACTCTGTGTGACATGGCTCAGAATCGATCACAATGGCGTAGGTGTATACACTCTTTATCTTCCCTTAAACCTTGAGATTAAAATTATTTCATAACTTTTTCCCTTCCTATACTATATCCTTATATACAACCTATCTATTATATACTACCACCACTAAATTAACTACTTCTATGAATCCGGTGTTGATCTTGTTGTGCTAACGATGTATGGCAACTTGTACCGATGCATATATGTGCCTGGTCCTACGTTGTAGCTGACTGACATCAATATTCAAACCTGTATCAGGGTATGAGATGTAACCAGTTAGTAATGATTAAGGTAACAGATGAACTCTCATAGGAATTAGATATTCTTTTGGTACTCAATTGTATCAGAACTTGATACTTTAAACAAATAAGCAAACTATATTAGTCAGAACTCATAAACTGGATAAAAGGTATACAAAACTTAAACAAAAATTCAATTTCATAATTGATTGAAGTTAAACATTAACACTGTTGAATGCCCGCCGGCTCAGTGGTCTATCGGTTAAATGCTCTTGCGCGAGACTGTTAGGTCCTGGGTTCGAATCTCGTGAGGTGAGATCGTGGATGTGCACTGCTGAGGAGTCCCACAATAGGACGAAACGGCCATTCAGTGTTTCCAGGTTTTCCCTGGTGGTCTAGATTCAATTGACTCATGATTTCAACTATGAAAATTTCATAATTGAAGTGAATGCACAACTGAATAAAAATTTAATACATAGTATAAACAATTTAAAATATTTACCGTTAAGACATTCATTTTGTTCATTTTTTAAAATCTCATCTACTGTACGGCAATCTTCAATGGAATTAAAAGAGTGTGCGGATGAAGAAAAGGATGAGGATTTATCTGACAATTTTGTTGAAAATGATGAGGGTGATAATGATTTTGCAGTTGATGATAGTGTTGTTGTTGTCTTACGAATGGAACGTTTACGTAAAGTAGGATTTTTCTTTGATTGAATTAATTGAACTCCATTTGTTGATCGTGGAATATTCTCGGACTAATTTTTGAAAAAAGAAAAGAAATGAATTATTTATACAAACTAATACATTATATATATGGTTGAAATCATGAGTCAAGTGAAGCTAGAACACCGTGGAATACCTGGAAGCACTGGACGGTCGTTTTGTCCTACTGTGGGTCTCCTCAGCATTATACATGTGTGATAAAGTGGGCTAATGGGAAATCGTCAAATGATAAGTACATGTAAATGGCTGAGAACTAACTTTGTTTTCCGAGGGATGAGACACAAACTACTTATAAGCTTAGTTTCCCTCAATATATATATATATATATATATATATATATATATATATATATATATATATATATGACCGTAAATACACTTGATTTAAGTCCGCCTTCAACCCTTCCAGGATTACTAACGCTCCCAAGCCTAGATAAAAGAGGAGGGTTAGGAAACGGGATTGGCAAGCGCATCCCGCAAAAAAGAACCTTGCTAGAAAAACGCTAACATAGACTTGATTCAGTCTACCCAAATAAACTTAGCTATTCGCCTTTCATCTTTTCTTTTGAGTAGCTAGGTTCGTGTATAGAAATTGTGTGGCAGTATTAATTCTTAGACACTACATCACAACATCAAAAGCATGCGATCGAGCAAGACATGGCCTTTTAAGGAAGAAATCATCCCAATGGCGGTAAAATATGACTTAAATTTCTAAGGGACAAATATATGTATATACACTGTGCATTTCGAGACATTAAGCTATACATTGTCCGTTTCAGAAGTTTTGATTGTGAACAAGGTGATCTAAAATGCAGTTAAGTGTTTGTCGTCCTCCAGTTACCTACACTGTGTAACGATACTCCTGGGTTAAAGGTGATCTCGACCGTGGAGACCAGGAGAAAGCTGAATAAAACCAATCACACAGCTGCTTTTAATTGGTTCTGTACTTTTCAGACTTTACTGTTGACAATAGAAATCTATGGGGCGAGGTGAGGTGCGTTATTTTCAGGACCGACTTTTCATAATTGCCTTCTCCTGTTATGTGAAGGCAACATTGTTGCATATCATGGTTTTTTGAGGTAAACACCTTACTGCCGTCACAACCCAACACAATCGGCAGTCTTACAGCTATCCAACTGACCAGCCTAGTGACACAGTGTAGTTTTTAGTAAAGAGATTATCATAGCAAGCAAGTTAGAAACCAAATTAAAATGAATGACAAAGTGGGTTAGAACCAACAGTAATACCAATGATAGTAGACAAGAGTAAACATTCTCAGTGGGGTGGTGGATGTACATTGCTGTGAATCCCATATAAGAAAAACGTGTCTAATTATTCCTGGCTTTCATTGGTTGTCTAACTAAGACCAATCCCTTATGCAAACAATGAAGAACACATTACACAGAAAATGGATTAATTTACTCAATAAAAGTGTACAGTTACTTTGAAAATTCAAGATTAAGATTGATGAATGCAACTGTTTTTGAGCCAAGTCAACAAAGATTTGTTCCTAACTAGGAATTCAGGATCCAACGGGACGATTGAAACGAATGGCTAGTGATTTGATAGAATGATGATGCCATGTTCACCCCATCGATCACCAAACTAGGAATACTTGATTTTTAATTTAACCCTTAAACGTTCTATAATTACAATTCTATATGAACGTAGAAAATCCGTTGATGTGGTTGTGAAACTTTACGTATGGAACACCACTGCTAATTTCTATGGGCTGATGTACAAAAGTAGGTTATGAAAAGTTAACGGGATAACTATTACCCCTATCGAACTAATCTATGGTAGATAATGAGTTGTAGATGTTTTAGTTAATATTTCATGTGAAAACTGTAATCTATGCTTGGGTGTTAATAAACAATGATTTAACATACATGATCCAATCACTCTGATCAGTTATCTACATAAGTCAAAAGATTGTGTTTCACTTCAATATTTCATTAAGTGATCCAGTTGTGTTGTTTAGAAGATTATCAAACAAACATTGAGCTAGTTTCATGGAAATGTTTGCAAACAGAGCCTATTAACAAACCAAGCCGGTTTTACACATTATATATATATATATATATATATATATATATATATATATATATAGTTGAAATCATCAGTCAATCGAAGTTAGAACACCAGGGAAAACCTGTAAACATTGGACGGCCGTTTCGTCCTATTGTGGGGCTGGTAGGTCCTGGGTTCGAATCTCGTCAGTGCAGGATCGTGGATGCGCACTATTGAGGAGTCCCACAATAGGACAAAACGGCTATCCAGTGCTTCCAGCTTCTCCATGGTGGTCTAGCTTCAATTGACTCATGATTTCAACTATATATAGAAATTACTAAAAGTCCCCACAAACAACCACATTTTTTTAATTAAATGGTGACGTTGTGAAAACATTGACAAAAGAAACATAAACAAGAACATGGTACGATCAAAAAACTGAACGAATTCCAAATGATCAATATTTCAAGAGTATAAGTACACCATTTCTGTAGATTAGCATTGATTTTTAGATCGAATTACAAGTTCGATGTTGTGTGGTTATGACTGATCACATGGTGAGAAAAAAAAGCAGGATATATTAATTCTGCACCGTGAATTATTTAACTCAAATTCAAAATATTCTTTACAAGGGATTTATTTAATTTAAACACATAAATATTGGTACAAAGAAGGCATCAGATTCATATGCGCCACACAAATCTCATTCGATTTGTGTGAGGACTACAATACTGCCCAGGTGCCCGAATCGAAGCAGGTGGTTTCCTTAGGGGGCCACAATCGAAGCCTTCGACCTAAAGATCTGATCCACAATGCAGTGGAGCATCGTGAGGTAGCCGGTGACCAATGATTGATTCATACGCTACTTGCTCCTTCAGGATCCTGGAGCCCATGTGCATCATTGGTTTGGAATCAGAGTTATCCAACTCCCCTAGATGAACTTTTCGTGTCCATTAAACCGGTTAAAGCTCCGGACATTCGCTTTTTCATCCTTTCAATTTCGTAAACAACACTGCAGAGGCTATATACACGTGGCCATATGAGAGTATTTCGGGAGGGAGAGCGGACTCTCCCCACTCTCGGCCGTACCAAGGCATTTGGGGGTGATAAGATAACTTAAAGTCTGATCTCTGTGAACAGAAACAATTAACTTTCACAATTGTTTACCACTCATTAACATCCTCAGTTACATGAGTAATTTCGCTCTTAAAAATTCATTGGATCCTCTTGAACAGCAAAGTAAATATATTTGGGGTGTGTTTCTCCATTTCTTAAATGAAGAATGTTGCTTCAAGACTGATCTACGTAGAAGCTTAAAATAATGATAGAAAATAAAGTAAATGAGAGCGTTGATCACTATGCTTATCATAAAAGTCTTATCAAGTTCATGGTAGGTCTGTATCTGACGAGATCTAGACATGGATTTAGAAAACATGGTTGGCTTTTACCAACTTATATAATTTGTGGCATAGGTGTTAGTTGTCCGTCTGTCAACCCAAGGACGAGTATACCGTGAAGTAATATGCTCTGTATTACTCTATGAGTGGGAGACATTAAAAATAATGAATATTTGTAAGTTACCAGTATTCGATCACAGATCTTTTGAAAGCATTGCTTGTATATACTGAAACTATTGAGTGAGCAATGTTGAAGTTAGAAACAAGGTACAGATGGGTTAATGAAGTAGCGAATCTTCTTCAAATTAGGTGCTTAAGACGTGCGTTACGTACCCTAAACCGTTATTTACTTTGACGTGCAATGAAGATTGGAATAAGAGTAACAACGATCAAAATAAAACAAAGGACCAGTCTATGTAGTCGTTAACTGTTGGCTTTAATCATTTTGACATATGCAGACTACCCTGATTGATGTTCTCTTGATAATAACGATAAGCGGTTGGAAGAGTTGAGTGACATGGCTCAAAATTAGTAGCAGTAGTGTAGATTCACTCATTCCTTATTTAGCCCTTAGATCTCGGACTTTGAAAACACTTTACACTTGTTATTCCATGAATTCATTATTTTTTTTCTAATCATATTACTTACGCCTGTTACTCCCAATGGAGCATAGGCCGCCGACCAGCTTTCTCCAACCCACTCTGTCCTGAGCCTTCCTTTCTAGTTCTATCCAGTTCTTGTTCATTCTTCTCATGTCTGTCTCTATTTCTCGGCGTAATGTGTTCTTTGATCTTCCTCTTCTCCTTTGACCTTCAGGATTCCATGTGAGGGCTTGTCTTGTGACGCAGTTAAGTGATTTCCGCAATGTGTGTCCTATCCACTTCCATTCTAATCATATTGTTCATACGTAATGTTTTCTACGAATTCTACAACACTACCATTTGCCTTGACAATTTCATCTTGCTTCAGTGATTTGGCATAGAGTTGATGTACGTATATATAAGGCTCTACATGTTGCTCATGATTTTTTTCTGGTTAGCATTTTTTAGCGAGGTTAGAATTTTCAATACAAATGTCAAAACAGTTCTACTGTATGGGGTGGAGACGTGGAGAACTACGAAAGCCATTATCCAGAAGATACATGTGTTTATTAACAGTTGTCTAGGCAAGATACTTCGGATCAGATGGTCAGACACTATCAGCAACAAGTTACTGTGGGAAACAACAAACCAAATTCCAGCGGAGGAAGAAATCAGGAGGAAGCGCTGAAAGTGGATTGGGCACACTTTGAGGAAATCACCCAATTGTGTAACAAGACAATCCCTCACATGGAATCCTGAAGGTCAGAGGAGAAGAGGAAGACCAAAGAACACATTACGCCGAGAAATAGAGACAGACATGAGAAGAATGAACAAGAACTGGATAGAACTAGAAAGGAAGGCCCATGATAGAGTGAGTTGTAGAATGTTGGTCAGTGGCCTATACTCCATTGGGAGTAACAGGCGAAAGTAAGTAAGTAATGTTGCTCATGACTAACTGAATTCAAACAAGTTAAATCAATCTATTCACCATTTCCATGCATTCCTATTATCATTATTATGCATCACCTTTAATCAAATCACATTC